TTCCTTCGGCCCACCGGCTTCCTACTGGGCCTTCCCTGACCCCCGAAAGTTGTGGCCGTATAGGAACTGCATATTTGTTTTTTAAGCGGGGAAAGTTACTGGTGGTTTAACAAACAACAATTACACAGAACTCAGAAATTAGTTGCACCACAGCACAAAGGGCAATTGGTTAAAATAAAAAATTGGTTGCACCACAACACGAAGGGCTCCACTAACAAGAAAAATAACCACGCCCTAGAGAGCCCACTGAGTCGGCCGACAAAACCACCACTGGTCGCACAAATACAACACTGGCAGTTCTATCATCCCAAACTACCCATTCACGTCACTGTCCTCTCTTATCACACCATGGCTAGAGAGCCACCCACCCTTTCATTTGCTGTCTGCCCCTGGAGTGTACAGAGTGCCATAATCCCGAACTCCACAACATGTCCAAGCGACATCAGGAGTCCTACTGCTCAAAACACACTAGAAGCTTTCCCATTCTTCCCTGGGCTCGAAGAGAGCAGCCCGTGGGAATGACACCCACAGTTAACACTCTCTGTGCCTCCTCGCGAAGATACCATGGCCAAAACTCCAAACATACATTCCCACCCCGAAAAAACTGGTGGACACCCACAGACATTCCTTTCACAAAGTGACAGTCCATGCTCTAAAGCAAGGGAAGAATAAGGCCATGAGTAATTGAAAAACAAAACATCTGTCCACTAAAGAAGAATAGCTCGCTAGTACGACCCCAATCCTAACACTCAGATCTGCCAGACAGAGAGCTAGCGAGACCGGAAAGTGTTTTTCAAATAAACACGAACTCCCTCTCTCATCCCATCCACAAATCGCCAGAAACCATCCATAAAACATAGTAGAATATGCAAGGTTGTAACAAACTGTCACCACAACAGGCATTTTCCACCCAGATCAGTAGATCCAAAATTGAAACAGCTTTACCTCTATAGCAGACGGCATGAAGTGCACTGAAACCGTTACATTGGCTTTTCCTTGTGCAGTTCTTTCTTCACTTTCCTTCAGCTTTTTTGCGGCTTCTCGTTTATTTCTTCTTGCAACTCCCCTTTCACTGTCTCTCTCACACACAAGACTCGCCACATTGCTTGTGGTTGAGCATGAGCTACCCACATCCCCATGTGCCATAACGGCCCACTTGCGCCCTATGAAAAGGGGGAGGGGCATGTTTTGCCTGTTCTTTATGATGCTCATTCATATGCCTTCAGTAGTTCTGCACGGGGGGACGGAGGAGGGAGACAGGGAAGGGGAGGGAGACAGGGGAAGAAGAAAGAGAACAGAGGGGGGAAAACAAACTTCACAGGGTTCTCAGTACTCACCCGCAGAGCAGACTACCATAGAATGGCACAAGAGGCCACCCACATCCCCGTGTGCCATAACGGCCCACTTGCACCCTATGAAAAGGAGGCAGAGTAAAGGGGGAGGAGCTTATTTTATCTGTTCTTTATGATTCTTATTCATATATGCCTTTAGTGGTTCTGCACGGGGGGAGGGAGGAGGGAGAGAAGGAAGGGGAGAGAGACAGGCGGAAGAAGAAAGAGAGCCGAGGGGAAAAAACAAACTTCACAGGGCTCTCAGTACTCACCCGCAGAGCAGACTACCATAGAATGGCACAACAGGCCAGTCAGTATTTGGGTTGCCGAGAAAAAGAAGCTTAGGAGCAGGTGTTGCCTATGCCTATGATAAATGCCCACGCTTGCAGACCAGATAGGACCGGTTTGGGTGTGGACTGTGGAAACACCACCATATCCGGTCTTTGCAGTTGCAGTTGCAGTTGCTGCGTAGAATTGCACAGCATAGACTGATGTCACAGACAGCATGGCTGCCGCATGCATGCTAGGAACACAGAGGCACAGCCTGTCTAAAAATAGGACAGACCATGTCAGGGTGTCGTACATGAGCCCAATGTTGACTTCCGTCTTGCATGGGCTACACCATCACAATCCTCACGACACAAAGCATGCCACAGAGCTATATCGGGCAAGTGACATAGGGGTTGGGGGGGAGTGCAAGACAACATGCTACAGTTTTCAAGGCAGATGGTGGCAATGACCATCTGGACTGTGCCTCTATGGAAACAAAGTATTGAGATACAAAATGAAATGGCGCGCAGACCATCGTCCAGAGAGGGGCCCTCACCATCAGCAGCAGAATCCGTCTAATCTGCACAGGAAAGAGACGCTGCCTGCCCTGTCTGAGGGGAGAGGGAAGGGTCGGCCGGATCGTTCTCCAGAAGCTGTGGAGCTCAAGAGTGGACATCCACATCCTGTTCCTGAGTGACAAGCAAGAAAGAGTGTGATTCTGCCACCCGTTGATAGTAAAAGGTAATATTACGCACCAAGTGCACCCTAGCGCCATTGTCCCACAGGGTCCATCAATTATCCGCGAAGGTAAATGCCATAGACAGCACTTCCATCTTCACGCCAAGCGTCGTACTGTCATCTTCTAGGCAAACAGCACGGTGTTCTGCTTCTATCCAGCGGACTGTCCGCAAAATCGGAAACAGTATAGGGGTTGCAGTTGTAACCCAAGGAGACACACATTAATGGCATATATACGCAAAATAGCCTCTCTGTAGCACAATGAGATCATCATTTGATCTTGCAGATTGCACAGCAGAGGGAGGCTCCTCCCGATGTTGACAGTATCTGTCCACTACCTCTGGGCCTCAGGCTCTATAACTCCATTGGCTCTGGCACGGGTTCCAGAGACAGATCATCTCCAATTTAGGGTTTCATCAAATACCCAGAGGGTGGATCATTGTCATTTGAAGTGGTGGGGCAATCAGCGTGAAGTGGATTAGAAGTAGTGTGGTCACAAGTGAAAGCTGATCTACCACACTTGTACTCAAAAGTGGCTGCTAGTCGTGCAAATGCTGCACAGGTGGCTGCACCCCCTGCACACGGAGGCCTGCAGCACTGCAAAAATCATCACCACATTGGATCAGCCGCACTTGTACTCAAAAGTGGCTGCGAGGTTGCAGGAGCGTGGTCACAAGTGAAAGCTGATCTACCACTCTTGTACTCAAAAGTG